GTTTCTTGGTCAGCAAGGAATGGAGAGGCACTACCAGGACTGGGTGGTCTCTGTGATATTAAAGAGGCATGAGCCTCCCACACAGATCAAGCAATCTAGAGAGAGAAAGGCAGCTAGCATGTATTGAGTACTTACTGTATGAAGAGCTTAATTAATACTCATTTAGTGCTCACATCAGCCCTGCAAAGTAAACATCAGCCCCATGTTACAGAGGAATGGAAACTCAGTAAAGTTCTTTTATCAAGCTCAGCGTTTGCACTGGCTGCACTTGCCAGCCTGAGCTGTTCCTGGGGTTCTTCTGTCAGGACACCATGGGTAAAGAATGAGTCCCACTATGTATGTCTCTCCTCCTATATTATTTCTGCCTTTGGTAATCAAATGTTCTATATGATGGAGAGAGCCATCAGAAGCTATTTGTTCTTTTTTTTTTTAAACAGAGGTTTATAGCTATAAAGGGTATACACTGAGCAGATGAATGTTGTAAATAAAATTGCCCTCTGGAACATCAAAATCACTTAATATGGTCCATTCCTTTTGAAGCACGTTGTGCAGAGAACTGTTATGCTGATTACCAATAATTATAATCCATTCATTAAGGAAAAGTCTCTAAGGGCTTCTACAAAGGAACACTTCATGGATGAGATGGAGTTACTCTGTGTACTTGAAAATAATGAAGCTATCGTTCTTTTAAAAATTATCTAATTTAGGCTTTTCAATGATTTACACTGTGCTTCTCTACAAGGACTCAGAATGAAAGAGGTTTTGCTAAATTTAAATGGAGCCTTTCAAAGGTCCAGGGCAGCTTGGCACTGATCGTTGACATGCCAGACCCTGCAGAGTAGGGAAGAGAGGAGAGTTTCAGGAAGAATTAAATCTGAAAGATATATTCCCAGAAGTCTCTACTTTTCTTAAACATTTTGGATGCAAAGAACTTGTTTCTCCAAAGATTCTTGAGATTCACTGGATATCTGTAGAGAGAAGGCACTAGAATTTACCAAGAGTGGCCTTAAATTCCTTAGAAACAAAGTTAATATGAAGACATAGGGGTTGCAAAGTTCATATGGGTCAAGTGCTCAATGGGCTGAATGCTTTCTCATTTTAGTTACATCCTTTCAGGTACAAGAGGCCATCTGAGGTATGGATGCAGGGGGCTCTAGGGGAGCCAGGAATCTCACAGAAATCAAAGAACAGAAATCACAGTCAGGCCTTTTCAAACCCAATCTAAGAACCTAGCCAGCAGGAATTTCATGAGTCTTTCCCCAGGGGACTTGCCTTTCTCTTTGCATCTATTACTTTGCTTTCAATTATAAGAAACAAAAAAACCAATTCAAAGTGGCTTAAACAGTATGGAAACTTACTGTCTCACAGGACTGGAAATCCAGCTATAGGGTGGGTTTCAGGGTTGTGTGATCCAGTCAACCAACTATGTCATCTATGATCTGGGTTCTTTTCTCTCCATTCTGCCCTCCAGGTTAACTTCCTTCTCAGGCTAACTTCGAACAGGATCATAGGGCGGTGGAAAGTGGACCTTGGGCCACATGGTTCCTCACTGACATTTTCAAAAGAGAAGGGTTCCCCCAACAGTTCCTCTACCTCACAGTATCATTGACCTGATTTATCACATGACAATCATAAACCAATCCCTCCTGCCAATTGCTATCGACCAAAGTTCTAGTTCTGGTCACTAACAAGTACAGGATTACCACGACTGGTTTAGATTGCTCAGGGCACATCCCCAGAGTGAAGTCAGAGGTGCGAGCAGTGCAGGGAGTGGAGGGGGATAGAAAAAAAGAAAATCGAAAACAGTTCTTAAGTTTTTGCCTGAAGTCAACGGGTAGACACTGAAGCCATATGGGAATTCTTGAAGGAAAAACAGGTTGGAGGTGGAGATGGGTGGATGGGATCAAGACCATTGCTTTGGGTGTGGTTTTGAAATATCTATTAGAGAGGCAGCCCCAGTGGCGCAGCGGTTTAGCGCCGCCTGCAGCCCAGGGTGTGATCCTGGAGACCTGGGATCCAGTCCGCGTCGGGCTTCCTGCATGGGGCCTGCTTCTCCCTCTGCCTGTGTCTCTGCCTCTCTCTGTGTCTTTATGAATGAATAAATAAAATCCTTTAAAAAATAAATAAAAATAAAGGGTTACCAAAAAAAAAAAGAAGTATCTATTACATATTCAAATGAAGATGCCATGTAAGCCATGGGAATATGAATTTGGAGGTGAATGAAGAGGTCAGGGCTGGAGTTACAGTTTTGAGACTCATCAGCATATGGATAGAATTTGAAACCTGGGGAATGGAAGAAATCAATTAAAGAAATTATATACAGAAGAAATGAAGTGAGGTTCCAAGGCCAAGGGCGGGGGTACTTAGCATCTAAACATAGAATCGAAGAAGAAAAGACAGCAAAAGGACCAAGAAGCAACAATCAGCAAGATAGGAAGAAAACCAGAAACGTACTCATGGAAACCAAGAGAAGCGAGTGTTTCTTTTTTTTTTTTTTTAATTTTTATTTATTTATGATAGTCACAGAGAGAGAGAGAGAGGCAGAGACATAGGCAGATGAAGAAGCAGGCTCCATGCAGCGGGAGCCCGACGTGGGATTCAATCCTGGGTCTCCAGGATCGCGCCCTGGGCCAAAGGCAGGCGCTAAACCGCTGCGCCACCCAAGGATCCCGAAGCGAGTGTTTCTTGATTAAATGAATCATGCCCAATGATGGGAGGCTGAGTAGAAGAGGGACAGGAGATGAGTGCTGAACTGGCAACACGAAGTCACTGGTGCCTAGACAAGTAATTCCAGTGGGTGTGAGCACTACAATCTACCTGCAGTGGGCTGAGGAAAAATGGATGGTGGGGTGACAACATTTAATTTCAACAACTCTTCCAAGAAGTTTTTCTGTGAGGGGTAACAGAGAGACGGGTGATAACTAAAGGTAAATAAAACAGAGGCCAAAGCAGGTATTTATAGAAAGATCCTAGAGGGCATCTAATGCACTGACTGAAATGACCTATCAAGAGAAAGATACAGAAAAAAATCATTGCAGGAGGGAGGACATTGAGAAGTCAAGAGGAGAGAGGATCCAGTGAACAGGTAGAGGAGTTGGCCTTTTATAGAAGCAGGGCTCTTTCACTCCGGAAGGAGTGCATATGCAAGTCACATGGTTGATACAGTGAAAGATAAGGAAATTCCCATCCAATTATTTCTCTTGCTGTCATGGAGTCAGTGGCAAGGTGATCATGAGAAACAAGAGGGGTTTTGAAGAGAAACGAAGGTGTCAATCGGCAATTCCAGGGAGAGGGAGAGTAAGCAGACAAGGAAGGTACATGAGGATTGCTCAGTAGGCAGACGTGATGAAAGACCTAAGATTTGACTAGGAGAGTGGATAAGTAAGGTGGAAGGAAGTACAAATTAAGCTTCAGAAAGATTAGGGAATGGGCCCAGGATCACACAGCTAATGGGTGGAAGTGGGGGGATTCACACTGAGACCCCAGCAACTTCACACTCCATGCTCCTTCCATGCTGCTGAGTCCCTCAGGTGCAATCGAGCAACCCAGTGCAAAGATAAAGCTGCAGGTAAGGTACATCTACAAAGGAAGATTCTCTGAGTCCCACATATGTGTGACTGCTGTGGGACCCTGATGTTGTTATAACCTTTGAAGAATCAGTATTTCACCCTTCCCGATGCCCAGGGATATCATCCTCTCTCCCATTCCCCTTTGGATTACTACCACTGGTCTGTCAGCCAATCTCCAGTCTCTAGTTCCCCCAAACCATCTTCCAGGCTGCTAACGATGGTCTTTGTGAAATTCGGAGGTCTTCCACTGCACAAAATTCTAGCACTGTGCGCCAGACTTCTGTGATTCAGTCACATTCCCCTGGCCTCCCCCATAGCTTGTGCTCAGCCATGTTAGTTATCATTCCACAGCCTCAATGGCCCTGTCCATGCTCGTGTGTCTTTGGGCATGCTGGAGCTCTCCCTGAAATGTCTGTCCTCTGCCCTGGTTCACAGGACATGCTTCCATTTATTCAGCTCCAATGGCCCGCCCCCAGGATAGCTTTCCTTCTCCACCTCTCCTTCATCCTCCTCCACTATCCCCAAGTAACCACTATGAGAGCTTTTGTCATTTTGCACTAGAATTCTCTTTATTTGTATATTTCTCTCTTCATCCTTCACATAGTAGCACAGCATCTACCTGATTCATATTAAGTGCTCAAATCCTGTATTGAATGCCAAATCAGAATGAATTTAGTTGTTCAATATTGAAGATGATGAAATTAGCTGAACTGCTTTTAGTGGGGCTCAGTATCTCATATTACATTTGTCATGTTCCCAAGGGATGTCAATCTGGATGGCAGAGGGATACAGAATCCATCTGTTTGCATCCATGGCTCCTTTCACAACCTGCTCTGAAACCCAGCATTTCCAGGCTGCTTTCAAAGTCAGATGTTACTGAACAAGCTTACTACATAAACAGTGGATACATTATGCAGATGAAACATAAACAGCCTGACAAGCCCACTGGAGGACACTAGCTGAAATCATATAGAAGGGGGTGGGCTGGGGCCCAGCAAGCGTCTGTAGGAGCTGCAATGGCTCAGCCGTCCGGGCACAACCAGTCTGATCTCTTTAGAGACGCCTGGTGTCTGCCAGCTAGAGCTCCCCAATCGCCGTACGTGCCACACAGTGTTTGTATCTGCTATGGCTAAAGAGAACTGCTCACTCTTCCACCTGCATGACACAGATGGTACAGATGGGAGCATGCTTCCACATGACAACATGCAATTATGCCCAGTTCCTCCAGCTGTAACAATTACCAGGAGAAAACCCCAGGGAAGAAAACAGTCCTGGCAGAGAACAGTCTTCCATGCAGGCACACACCACAAAGTTCTCCCAAGGGTGGCCGCTGGAGTCATGGCCTCTGGCTCCTTTCACAGTCCTTCCCAGAACCCATGGATGTGAGAAGCATTTGGTGAGATCAGGACATAAGGCAATCATCAAACGGGATATATTTAAGTAAGAAAATACCAAGGCTTTATTATTATTCTTTTTTTATAAAGACAGCCCTGTTGTTGGCTACGTGGAAAGGACGTACACAGTTCCTGTGAGTAAACAAGACATCCCTGCTTCAGACTGCATACCATAATGCCAAAGAACAGATGCCAAGGGGGAAGGGGTAATGCTCTCATCTTCATAGCAATAAAATGCAATATAAAACAAAAATTAAACAGACTTAATTAATGCTAGACATTCCCACAAGGTAAAGACCAGATGACTCCATCAATCAGTAGTAGTTGGATATGATAAAGATTCTATTAGACTGAGACACCCTCACTCCTCTCTCCGACTCTCCCCATCTGAGGTATTACAGTCTGGAACCAACAAAGCTGGTAGTCAGGAGCTTTTGCTTCAGAGTCCCCTTGAGATGAGAAGGGGGGAATGTCTTGGAAGACCAGATAACTGGACTTTGGTGAGGCACCTACGTGCAGCAGTGTCGCATATGGAAGTTGACAACATACTCAGCATTAGTCCTCTGCACTGAAATAGCGAAAGGCTCAAAAGGGTGAAAGGTGAAGGCAACAAGGCGTCGCACTGTGTGGTTGATGGGGCGGCCAAGCAAGCCTGCCTGGATCTCAAACTTGAGCAGACCAGAGTCCCGGGCATAGAACCTAAACAGAACAAGGAGAGAAAGAGAGGATGGTACAGATATTCACCACCATCTACAAATCTGCACAGCACAGGAATGTGGCAACTCATTTTTTAATCTTACACTATCTCCTCTTACATCAGCCCCAAGTTATTGAAACCGCAAAACTGCCTTTGAGCAACTCATTTTATGCACAGGGTCATTATGAATTTTACTGTGCTGTCCTGAGTCATTGGATCATTTCTCTTTCCCAAGATGACCCTTAGTTACAGCCTTAACTACAGCTTCCCCTTTTCCAGAAAAGCTGACCCACGACTGTCTAGGCCAGGGCTAGAAATGAAATTAAGCCACATGTATACTTTTAAATTTCCAGGTAGCCACATTAAGAAAGTTAAAAAGAAAAAGGTGAAATTAATTTTAATAATATACTTTATTTAACCCAATCCTGGTATCCAAATCTGTAACCCAGGTAAACAAATATTAATGAGATATTTCACTTTTTTTTTATTAAGCCTTTGAAATCTGATGTGTGACACTTAAGCATATCTCAACTTGGACTAGTCACATTATAAGTGTTTAACAATCCACACGTGGTGAGTGGCTGCTATACACGACAGTGCACATTTCAGCCCATATTTGAGTTTTTCACTTTTAAGAATAAACTCTTACCAAGCGGCCAGTTAGCTCAGTGGGTTAGAGCATGGTGCTAATAATAATAAATTCTTTTAGAAGGTTCCTCTTTTCACAGATAAAAACAAAATACTAAGTAGCCTTTAATTTTTCATCTAATACTTCCATTCAACCTCATACTTTAAGACATTTTCCCATATGTAAAAATAAACACCCTAGGGTATTGGGAACTAGAAATGTTAGATGGGGTTGGGGCTGAATTAGGGAAAATCCTAGAAAATGAAGAGCTTTGAACTATAGAGCTCTATAACTTCCCTTTCGGAAAGCAAACACATGGTAGACATAAAGATATTAATAGCCTCTGACTCAGTAACTCCATTTCCAAGAATTTACATCCTCAGAATTTAATTTAAATGGAGAACATAGTGTATGAATAAAGACAGCTACTCTAGTGCAGCTCCAATGTAAAAATGCAGGACATAATTAAGGTTCAGTGACAGGGGACTAGTTCAATCAATTGTGGTACAACTAACTGAGGGAATAATATGCCGTCATTAAGACTCTAACTCTGAGGACTATGAACAACATGAAAAAACATTTCTAAAAGAAAAACAGACTACAAAGACTACAAAACAGACTACAAAAACAGACTACAAAGGATGATGCTAACCAGGATGACAACATGTAAGCATGCATACTGACAAAGACCAGAATGGAACACATAATACAGGTGTTCAAGTCATGGCATTTCTTCCTCCAATGCCTTTAATATCCTCACATTTCTCATTTTAAATTAAAAATAAATGAAAAACTCCCTTAGTTAGGGGCAATAGCCACTTCCAAATTTCTTACTTAGCTTATTCTTTTCAAATTAGAAAGGTAGGTTAGAAAGGAGAGGAATGTATCCCATGCTACTTTGACAATATCACATGAAGTCCATGATATGCTTTTACATGGGAAAACCATATTCACCTTACCCACACAGTCTCCAACACACAAAGGGCTTGTAAGGTAAAGTGAGTTGTTTGAGCTTCTACATCTAACTACCAGTTCACAGGAAATGTGGGAGAATGAGAAAAATCATAAATACTACTCCAGGGATAGTGTGCAGACACCAGAATGTGGGTAACACTACAGGACAATTTCATTGCATGGAAAATAAGAGGGAAGCAGAACCTATAGGATAAAATGGATTTAAGGGAGTAGCAACCAAAGGCAATGTATGAACCTTGTTTAGATCCTGATGGGAACAAACTGGAACCATAAAAAAAAAATATTTACAAGACAACAGGAAAACGTGAAAATTAAGTACTTGGTGGTCTTAATTAATTTTTGATAATTTTCTTAAGATACAATAATGGTTGTATTTTTTCTAAGTCTTTATGTCTTAGAAATTCATACCAAAATCTGAGTATAATGCTATGAAATCTGGGTTTTGCTTCGGAATAATCAAGGGTGGCAGTTGGGGGCAGGGTGTGGTAAGAGATAACAACATTAACAACATTAACAATGAGTTAACAATGAGTAACTGTTAAAACTGGATGGTGGGTATATGCAGGTTCACTATACTCTCCCATTTTATATGTTTAAAGTTTTCTAGAATTTAAAAAAAAAAAAAGTTAACTGGCTTTTGGAACATGACTGCAATTTCCCAAAGGAAATACCACGAACTGTGATTAACTGTACAGAATGTGTTACACAAACCTATTTAATACACAACAAAGCTGGATTGTGAAACACTGCCTACCACCTTTTGCAGAGTGAAAAAGGCCTTTTGCTCTTCAGCCCAAGGTTCCAGGGACACACATCCCCTGAAATCACCCTGTAGTGGAGGTTCCAGTTACTCTCCCTAGTACCTAACATAGTACACAGAACATCACAAGCTCCCAAAACGGAGAGAATGGGAGACCGGGGAATGGACATTTGTAAGGGAAGGACTGATTCTAAGACATTCTATAGCAATAATGCAGTAGTTTACATTCCAAAATTTCTCAAGTGAGGAAGCAAGGAGTTTCTCCAAAACCTATTTCCCAAATTATCTCTGCTATCTTTTCTACTAGGTAACATGAGGAGATAAAATAATTTGAGTGAAATAAAATTATAAAGTCTCAACTATAAACACTATCATGAAATGGAATGTGGTTTCCTACCCTGGATACCTTTAAAAAGGAACAACACTTATCTGGATTGGATGTTCTGATGAGAAGCAAAGAGCAGAACTCCTTCATTTATGAGACCAGGGCCTACATGATCAAAAGCACTCACATTATAGAAATAGCCTATCCTTCCAATTCGACCCATGAGTACAAGTGGACACAATCACAGTGAAATGAGGTCCAAGAAGAAGAAGAGGTGGAAAGTGGGCCATCTTTAGCCCTCAGGCAGTTAGCAGCTGAAGCAGTGACGGTATACCTGATAGGGTGATCTCCACAAGTCTTAGGTCGCTCCATGACAGACACCCACTTGTCATCGTAGCTGAAGAGAGACAGATCAAGGTAGGGGCTACCACTGTAAGACTGGGCACTGATGGGGAGCTGACCCAGTAGTCGGCGTACTGCCTCCGTGTGCCCTCCATACTTGGCATTTACAATAGTGTCTTTAAACCTAAAATAAAGCACCAGTAAGGAAGGCTGTGTTAGCAGGCACACAATGCTGCCTTGGATTTTAAACTGATAAAACACGTCTAAAAACGACTCATTCTGTAAAAAGAAATCTAGATGGTGAAGGAAGTCAGACAGAACTCACACATCACAAGTTGGCCTGGCTACAAATATTCTCAAAAAGCAGAAAACAGAATTTGAAATGGGAACATTAAATTACTTTAGAAAAGTTAACAAAGACTTTCCAAACAAGTTTAAAACGAGCATAACTATTCTATGACAACATTTCTACTCAAACTACTTCCCCCAAAAAACAGCTTCACCTTGCATTAGAAAGGAGTTATAGAGAACAGAGGATCTCGTGGAGAAGAGCAGCCTCTGACTCTTCTCAGGATCAGTGATAAGCCAACTTTCATCAAAACTTTCGACAAATTATTCATTCCTTGTTTCAGGCTCAGAGCTAGCTACCTGTACTCCCACAGAAACACCAGTATCTAAAGAATAGTAACGCGGACACAATCACGTATCTCACTTATTTGTAGTAATAATAACAAAGCAATCATTTTTCACAACTGTCATGAATACTAAATACATATCCCGTCACCAAGTATTTCTACACTTCCAGAAATTTACCCTAAGCAAGCAATCCCATATGCAGAAAAATATCTGTGCACATTCAATACAGCGTTCTTTATGATAAATTGACAGAAAATTAAAAACCTAATGGAAAACTGTGATTTTCAAAGATTACATGGTAACAGAGGAAATGTTTACCACAACGGTAAGTAAAAGAAACGATACAGAGCAGCCCCGGTGACCCAGCAATTTGGCACCACCTTTGGCCTGGGATATGATCCTGGAGTCCCACGTCATGCTCCCTGCATGGAGCCTGCTTCTCCCTCTGCCTGTGTCTCTGCCTCTCTCTCTCTTTCTCTCTGTCATGAATAAATAAAATCTTAAAAAAAAAAAAAAAAGAAAGAAACAAGATACATTCTGTATACACAGTATGATTTAAAAAACAAAGAAAAAAATCTAGGACTTAAAAAAAAAGACTGGTAGTAATACATCAAAATGATAATTGTGTTTGTGTAATCACATTTTTATTTTTTTTCTTCTTTTTCACTTTCCTATAGTTTCTTAGAAAGACTGTCCAACTATCAGTAATGTATTTTTAAAAATCTCTATATCAAAGCAGATCATATGGTTTAAAATTCAAGGGGAAAATAATTTTTTAGTCCAGGAAAAAACATAACATCTCATGCCTGAAATGAATGGAATGAAAACTAATGAAATAAATTTTAAAACTTGAATGCTCCCAAATTTGTGGAGACCAGAAAACTTGATGAGATGGATTCTGTCTTTACCATTAACCTCTGATGCTGGATGGAGATCAATAATTTTGTTTCCCTCGAAGACAGCCAAGCTATCAATACTGCTTTTCTGTTACTCCTCTTGAGACTAATTTTCACAGCCTCGGTGTCAATCATAACATTAAATCTTGGGCCAAGGAGAATTTCTTTCTTTCCCTTTTGAATGAGCTTGAATCAAAGATCCTGAGGCTTTTGGTTTTCAGCTTCTTTTCAGCCAAGTTCTAATACTACCTCTCATTTTTTTTTTTTTTTTAAGATTTTATTTGAGAGAGAGAGAGCATGCACAAGCAAGGTCAGGGAGGGGCAGAGGGAAAGGAAGCAGACTCCCCACTGAGCAGGGAGCCTGACATGGGGTTTGATCCCAGGGACTCTGATCATGACCTGAGCCAAGGCAGACACTTAACCCACGTAGGCACCCCTACTACCTCCTCTCATAATCCACACTATGCCTTGCCTGGCTCACTGGCTTCAAACCATAGGGGCTGGCCAGCCCACAGCTATATGATGATCCTAAGTCAAAGCCTCCAGGACAACCTCTAGGTTGAAGCAGTTCATCTTCCCCAGCAGCACCACTACCTCCACTCTCCATGCTCCCCATTGACAAAAAGATGAGGCAGTCATCCCTGTGATGTCCCCTGGCTCTGTCCCACTCTCACTCTGTCCAGTCCCCTGGCTCTGTCCCACTCTCACTCTGTCCAGGTGACTCTTTCAATTCATGAGTATTTCTAAATTTGCAAGGTTTATCCTTCCAGCACCACAGAACCTCCTCCCTAGGTATTAGATCCCACAACCTCTCGTATAATCAATTCTTCTTACCTTCTCCTAAACCATCAGTTTCACCCAACTACACAATTTCAGACTATTTCCTGTACCATATTTTGTGATTTGTGTGGAAAACACATTTTCCAGAGGCTCTCTTAGAAAAGGTACATGAGAGGTAATTTTTTGAGAACTTTCATGTCTGAAAAGGTCTTTGTTCCATCCTATTGGATATACAATTCTAGATTGGATATCATTTTTTTTCACAGAAGGCATGATTTTATTGGCTACAAGCTTTCAGTGTTATTATTAAGTCCAATACCATTCTGATGACTTATTTTTTGACATGTGAAATGTATGTTCTTTCTGCAAGTTTTTATAATTTTCTATTTATCCTCAATGTTCCAAAATTTCATTTTAAAAGATTTTATTTATTTATTTTGGGGGGTGGGGGCAAAGAGAGGGAGAAAGAGAATCCTTAGCAGGCTCTACTTTGAGCCCAACGTGGGGCTTGATCTCACATGACCTGAGTCATGACCTGAACCAAAATCAAGAGTGAGACACTCTAGGGGTTCCTGGGTGGCTCAGTTGGCTAAGCATCTGGCTTCATCTCAGGTCATGATCCCAGGGTTCTGGGATAGAGCCTCACGTCAGAATCCCTGCTCAGGCTTCTCCCTTTCCCACTGCTGCTCTGTCAAATAAATAGATAAAATCTTAAAAAAAAAAAAAAAAAAATACTGGTCAGACACCCTACCAACTGAGCCACCCAGGCATTCCCACAATGTCTCAGAATTTCATGATATGCCTCAGTATGGGTCTTTTTCTCACTGGGTACTTGATGGAACTGGAGACAGCCTAATAAAGATTTAATAACTTTTTATCTGAGGGCAAAAACCATGATTTACAGCACTTGCCACTTTCTGTGCTGTAAATCCTACTGCTGTGGTCAATTTCAGGGTACCAATGTGACATCACTGAATGTGGAGCTGAGGATGAGCAGTAGCACATAACTATACTGTATTTTCACCATATAGATAAAATATGCATATAAACTCGAGAATAATAGTAAAATAACTAGGAAATAATTAATTCTTAATAATGACCACTTTTGGCAACAGCTTGCAAAAATTCCTGATAGCTTAACTGGCTCTTCATGAGCCATTATGAGCCAGCCCCAACACACCAACGAAAGGTCCTGCCAATCTGGAAATCTATGTTCTTCAGGACCAGAAAACTACATTATTTCCTCCCTGTCATTTTCTCTACTGCACCTTCTGGAAACAACCAGATATTGGACTTCCTGGGCAAATTCTCTGATTTTTTTATTTTAAATCATTTCTCTCCCATTTTCCTACTTTCATCTATTTATTCTACTTTCTTGGAGAATTCCTCAACTATGTCTAACAAAGTTTAAATTTCTGTTCTAGGAATTTTTTTTTTTTTTTACAGCTTCAATTATTTCAGCAATTGCAATGTTCCTCCTTTATTTTTTCTACTGTTTGTTTTATTTTGGTCTCTTTCAAAATAAAGATTTTTCTTAAGTTACTCATGATCCTTGGTGTCCTTTTTTTCTTGGACATTTAACCTATAATGGATCCACTTTCACTTATTTTTACTAAAAGATTATTAGGGACTATAAAATTGAGCATATAGAGTCATATGTTCACAAGAAATAAAAAATAATTCCAATTTACATACATATTATATTTTCAATGCAGCAAAGCATGACAAGACGGTTAATGGAATATGTTGCAATAGGATACAATTCTGTGGAGGAGATAAAATAGATATATGAATTTGAACATAAGAAGAAACAATGTAAAATTTCAAAAGTATGGGCATAATTGGCTCTCTCCCTTTTATAATCAAATACTGAACACCAACTACTATGGCATCTAGATTCCCTGGGTTATGTTTAAAGGTGTTGAGTTATACACCATAAACTTATACAATGTTATATGCCAGTTGTATTTCAATAAAGCTGGGGGAAAATGGCTTGTAATAATTTTATTTTTAAAAATCAATATTTAATATACACTGAAAATTGCATCTTCTGCAGTTATTTAAATATAACAGCAAGAACATTTTAAGATCAACTTAAAAATTCATGTGTGAGGGGATCCCTGGGTGGCGCAGCAGTTTGGTGCCTGTCTTTGGCCCAGGGCGCAATCCTGGAGACCCGGGATCGAATCCCACGTCGGGCTCCCGGTGCATGGAGCCTGCTTCTCCCTCTGCCTGTGTCTCTGCCTCTCTCTCTCTCTCTCTCTGTGTGTGTGTGTGTGTGACTATCATAAATAAATAAAAATTTTAAAAAAAATTCATGTGTGAAGCTATCTACAGTTGTTCAAAATATTTTGGTGGTATGATGCAAAATTCTGAGGATCACAGAGCTGGAACCCTGCCTTTCTTTTAAACCTTTATTTTCTCCTCCTGAGACTTCCTACAATTTCACTTAATTCCAGATGTATTCTGAAATAATTCTCAAAAAACACAGCTTCCTCTAATTACTGGGTGACTTCATTCATTCGACAAATACCTAATAAGCTTCTCCCACATGAAAGATACTGGCCTAGGTGCTATGGATACAGCAGTGAATATAAGATAAAAATCCCTGTCCTCGTTTAAGTATACCTCCTAGTGACTTCCTTGATGGTTTCATACAGCCAGCTATACTGAGCTTTGTAATTATTGATAATGATCTGCCTGATTTTAAAGTTAATTTAAAAGAAGAAAATTCAGGGGCGCCTGGGTGGCACTGCTGGTGAAGTGTCTGGACTCTTGGTTTCAGCTCAGGTCCTGATCTCAGGGTCATCTCATCCTGATCCAGTCCCTCACTGGGCTCTGAGTACAGAGTCTGCTTGAGATTTGCTCTCTCCCTCTCTCTTTACCCCTCACCTTGCTCTCAAAATAAATAAATAAATCTTTTTAAAAATAAAAGCAGAAACATTCATTCCAAAATGAAAAAAGCAAAATCTGATCCATGTTCTGCCTCCAAAAATCCTTCTATGCTGAACAGAAATGCTTATAGGGCAGAAAATTTATGTGAACCAGAAAAAAAGGAAAAGGCAAGTATCCTGTCTGAAAACCAGCATCCATCTATTTCTAATTGAGTACTACCCTTTCACATAAAGATGATGCCACTACATTAATGTACCTGCTTTGTTCATTTTTTCCAGTGGCAGTGATGCTTATTCTGAGTCATTTGTTCACTCTGGTCTGACCTATCTTGAAACCTGAAAGCAGATATTTTCCCTAACTGGCTAGAGTTGGAGGAGCAATTTAGTATGTGGCGTCAAATGAGGCATTACAGACTAGAGTGGATTCAGCTTGGGCAAATGACCCAAAGTAACTGTTCATGTCATAATCATGTGCTCAGATAATTCTATCAGGAACTCTAGTTCATAGGAAGACCTGGCTGATGTGGGGTATTAAGTGAGGGTCACCCAGTTTGAAGAGGGACTCCAAGTATGAATATCTGAGGGTCTCTTCTCTGGGTTGGTCATTTTTTTTCCCTAGGGAAATATCTCTAACCTCCTGCCTGAGAAGTATACACTTGGCTGCCATATCTGATAAAGGGGACAGGAATCTTACCTTCAGTTTGTTGGCTTTCATCTAATTCTTGTTTTTAGCATGACAAATCCCATCCTTGCCTCAGCTGTGCCTCATAAATGTGAAACCAGTGCCTATATGGCTCAGTTTCTCCAGAGACTAAACCTCCAGCCTCCTGAGAAGGTGGGGAAGACAGTTATCTGGCAGAGCAGGCTTAGAGAAGGGGGCAATGGGGCCTTTCCAGACCTTTACCCAATCCTCCTGCTTTAAGCCTACGTCACAGGTATTGTCAGAGTGACTAGGGGCATCTGATTCCCCAACCCTTTCCAGAGTTCTCTGGAGCAAGGCAACCTGTTTCTTGATGGCTAAATTCTGCAGTCTTAAGTTTTTGTTCTCTGAAGTGTGCCAAGTCATAGGTTACCACTGATCAATTAGCTTATCAGCTCCCGACACTGATTCAGATCCCTCTCCTGTTGCCAATCATCTCCCGTCTTCAATGTCTTTCCTCTCCCATTCTCTTTGCTCTTGTTAAATTTATACCTCTTACTGCTTTATTGTCATTTTAGTGGGGTTTGGGGATGGAGCAGAGATAAACACATGTGCTCAACACATCATGTTTAACCAAAAGTTCTAAAATTATTTCCTTAGTCATTCACTCAAAAAATACTTAAATGCTTGACAGTGCATCATGAGACTACAAGAATAAATAATAAAGATATAGTCTCTACCTTTCTGCATCTCTTAGGCAGCTCTCACACTGCTCTCCTTCCTCTAGGAGGGATCACAGATAACGCACAACTAATTCCATAGGTGCTGAGAGAAGTTCAGGATGACCCAAGGGATTACAACAGGCAGACCTAACCAAAGCGAGGTAGCAGAGAGAATATCGGAAGGGTTTTTTGGAGGACATGACTAGTGGCCTAACACCAGTGAATTGTCTAAAGAAAAATTAAGCCTGTTAAGCCTGGTGGAAGAGCTTACCGGCGCTGGATCTGCCTTGCAAAATTGTTGCTGGAAGCTGAGCAGGGAAACTGGACTTCACTGTGTAGGGTTGCATTACGGAAGAGGTCACAGAAGTTCTCAAAGAGCTCTAGAAGCTCATCTGATGTATTCTCAAACACGGCAATCACCTCTGTTGTCACCATATTGTACACCACAAAAAAAGATGCCTGCAGAAGAACAGAGACAGCTATGAGACAGCTGGGTATACAGCCATGCCTTGGAAACCTACTACTTGGTTGAAAATTCAAAGTACTCAAGTAAAACAAGCAAACACTTCTCCTGCACTAGCATAAAAATGTGGCTCCAGGTGGTTCTGGGAGAGGAGGAAGCCTCAGTAAACTTTATCAGCCAAGGGCCATCAGTCATGGTCAGAACTGCTGGATTTACCACCGTATCTGTGCTGCTAGAATTACTGAACTGGCCCACATACATGTGTAGGTTTCCAATCTTGCATTTCTGACTCTGCAAATTCAATATTTTTCCTTCCTACTCTTTATTCCCTCCTTGCTCCCCAACCCAGCCTGAAATAAAAAGCACTTTTTTTAAATGCCAGATTTAATTTTCCTCCCTGCTGAGAAAGTGATTGGTAGCCTGTAGCTGCCTGTTGGCAAATTATTTTCTCTTGTATATGTACAGTTGAAAGTTCAATTTAGGAACATTTATTTTCCTTCTTAAGATTTCTAACATGCAGAGAGAAACCTGAAGTACACTGTGTCCTAAAACTGCCCAGGCAAGTTGTAACCAAGCAGGGAACTGCTGCTGAACAAATGAAAAATCAGGGAGGCATTTTCCATTTCTTTCTTCATAAATGTTCTTTCAGCCAAGAGCATTTGGACGATACATTTGAGATTTGTAGCAATTAAGATCAGAGGGGGAACCTGAAAAGCATTCAAATGCCATAGGTGGCAGAGTTTTCTACTTTCTCTGAATGGGCCCTGGGTGACTAGCCCTCTAAACAACCAGTGCTCTGCTCTACCTAACAAGGAAGCCCCAGGAACCCCTGGTTTTTGTCACAATGAATGTGGTAGTGTGAATCAATCTGCAAGCTTGATCTAGAAGTTTCCAGAACATTAAGGTTAGTACTCCCCCTCCTATGACTGAGTTTAAGTCTCTGTCATCAATTCCTAGAGCCACAGTGCCCACCTGTTTTATTAGTCATTAGTCCTTCCCAGAGCTTTCATTACATGACTTTTACAGTCACCTGGAAATTAAATATGGCTGTAAATTAAGGAGGCTGGAGAGTAACCTGAGAATAATACCCATAATATTAGCAAGGCTTTGTATGTAGGTGCACTTTTTACTCATTAACCTTATTGGAACCTCTCAAATTAAAACGGGGAAAGGAGTGGGAGGACAACTAGGGCAAACTGGGTTTAAGGTTACAAACTCTGTAAGCAAAACACTGAGCTCTAGTACTGATTCCAGTCACAATTCATTATAACTACCAGAAATAAGTAGGTCATGTTTTAGCAAAGGGAAGGAAGATAATCTCAAATGCAGCTATCACAGATAACTTATGCCCTCCAAAAGAAAAAGGTAATTATAGCTCAAACCTAAATAAAAGATTGACTCATGTCCTTTCTATAGACCTGGACAACACTTTGATCATTATCAGGGCTCCACCAGGATCCATCACAATTATGTGAATATAAAATTACACAAACTTTACTAGCCTTCCCTCCAGGACAGACTGGGAAATACAGGCAGAAGGTGAAAGGAGCCAAGAGTGTCACTGACAATCTCCTATGAAACATAACGTGAACTAGATGCTCATCTGTGATGGCTCAATGGGTGACTTCATCATTAACAGGGAAGAAAAGAATCCAGAAAAACTATCTCCAACCATTTAACTCCCTGCCACCCACCTTTTTTTTTTTTTTTTTTTTTTAAGAATATACAAGCTATGATTCCAAAGAAAAGTACTGGAAAACATTTTACCATGGATGACTGGTAAGGTCTTAGGAAACAATGGCCTGTACAGTCTCTTGCAATAGAACCAACTGCAAGTCAGTGGGAGATACAAGACTCAGCCCTCTTTGTAGCTGACTGGTTTGCTCTCTATTGTGATTTCTCAAATTCACACCTAAGGAGACATTCTGCAAACGGGAGAATAGGTGGCAAAGGTACAGAAAGGTAGGTCTCTTACTCCATCAACACTAAAGTAGAGAGCTTCTCAAAGAAAAATGCCCAAAAGTAGCCTGAATTTCAACATGGTATTTCAACCCAAGAGTCTTGGGAGGTTTCTGTGCCCTTAACACCCCTAGGTTCCCATTTAAGAAATAGCTCTCTCCCCTCCAAGATCTTTCATCCACACTGAAAAACCCTAGGACCTATATGGTCGTGATGATTCACTTGGGAGATCATAAGTCTTGGCTTCCTTTTAATTTTTTCACTGCTCTCCAACCTATGGTCCAGCACATGGGTATGGTCAGGATAAAGTCATAACACTAAACTGTTAGATGAACTTACCTATTAGTTACCTCCCAAAGGTTTTATGAAGACATGCACTGACATTATCCATTTAAGCAGGAAAGAGAGACCAAATTTTTAGAAAATTTTTGTGGCATGGTGGGCTCATTCTCATTCCTAGAACTAAAGAGGTCAGACCAAAAAGCCACAGTCTCACAAAATCAGGGCAGGATTATCCACAGGTAGTCCAAATTTTGACCTTGTAGCACTTGGGCGTCTATCTCAAGGATACTGAAAATGCTCTGGTCAAGTATTAGGGTAATGATCACAGAGTTGACTACCCACATATCAATGGCTTGAGACTGAGCTTCCATTCGTCCAAATAAATACATGTGGCCAGAGAAAAATGGAACTGTTTTAAGTCTGAGGCCAAGGATAACAAAAACTCAAGAATACATAAAATGCACATTTCTGAGAGGCTGGCTATAGGCCAAGAGAGAAACTCTCCCATTTTACCAAGCAGATGGGAGTAGTAAAGAGCAGGAGAGCACAGCATACCTGTGACGGATCTGTGACTCGAAGGGTTACCACGTCTTCGCTAGTGTATTTGATGAACAGATGGTTTTCATCCAGAAGCTGCATCTTCCACATGCGCAGCTGCCGCAGCTGGTCAAAATACTGGAAGAAGCGCCTCTTGGCCATCGCACTACCATCCTGCTCTGCCCGGCGCCACAAGTACACGAGCAGCCGGTGTTTGAGGGAATTGATGAAGGGGTCTCTGAAGGGATTGGCCATGCCTGTCTGACTGTCCCGCTGAACCTCGGGGAACACAGCTGACACAGTGAGGAGGTCGTCCTCATAGCAGAAACGGCCAATGGTCCTCACATCAATGAAAGTGCCTTCCGGAGTCACCTGGAAGACATGGATGGTCTGCTGCTGCACTGACAAGATGGCCAGGATGTTTTTGTACAGGTATAGCCCCTGGTTGTGTGACAGGACCACCTTGTCACACTTGAAGGTACGGGTGTCACATAAGCGGCCCGTGTGAAGGTCAATGATGTGAAGGGAATAGTCCTCCAGAGGAGACCGCGGGTTAGGGGTCACAGATTCGCTGTTCCGATATACCTCGTAAAACGGAGGGTGCGGCTCATCCGGGAGGTAGGCAGCAGAGCCCACAATGACACACCGGCAGTCGTCAGTGAAGAGGCTGCACTCCCGGTTCAGGTGCTCCCCGTTGGCAGCCACGTTGGTAATGTGCAGCAGGACAAAGAAGCGTTCGAAGAGCCGACCGCGGATGCTGACTGACCGCTGGTCATTGCCATTGGACAGGGTTTCCCCCTCATAGCCCTGCAGTAAGTCCTCAGCTGCCTGGCAGCCCTGGTACTCATAGATTTCAAGAGACGTCTGGTCTGAAGAGAAAGCAATAAAGTAGCGTCCATCAGGTGAGAATTTACGCAAGAAACAGGGCGGCTTTTCGACATTGACAACTGTGAAGTTGGGGAAGACATTCTGGTGGAATACTCGGACCTGATGCCAGTGGGTGCCTGCCTTGCCTGAGCTGATCCGCCGCCTCTCCAAGCGGTGAATGACATTTTGGTTCTGGATTCTTCGAGGTTTGATGGTGGAAACATGATGATCCATTATCACATCTCTGTGTAGAAAAGTAAAGAAGAAAAAAAAAAAAAAACAGAATTGACCAAAACATAAATATACACAAGTGAAAGATTTTCCTCCTTATGCCCTGGACCCAGGAACTCGCAGGATGAGAGTGATCAGCATTTCTCCCTTCCCTGGTTATAGTCAGCAAACAGTCCTGACATTTCTGACTTTAAAAACAGGTCTGAGGGAAGGACCTAATTCACCAGAACACCTTCAAAGCACACTTCGCTGTTGGGAATACTCAGAAGAATAAACATAGAATTACACCAAATTTTTTCAGTGTTAAGAGGGACATTCAGTGCACATTCATTAAAGAAATGTATTTCTTTACTGGCTGTTAAGATATCCATACTACCTAAAACAATCTATAAATTCAATGCAATCCCTAACAAAATCCCAAAGGTCTTTTTTGAAAAAAAAAAAAAAAAGAAAGAAAGAAAGAAAAGAAAGAAAGAAAAAGTCATCCTAAAGCGCACATGTAACATCAAGGAACCCCAAACAGCCAAAACAATTCTGTAAAAGAACGGTTGGAAGACTCAGACTTCTTGATTTCAAAACATATTACAAAGCCAAATTAAAAAAAAAAAAAAAAAGTGTGGTACTGGCATAAAAACAAATATACCAATGGAAGAGAACAGAGAATCCAGAAACAAACCCTCACAGATGTAAACACAAGGTTTAAGAAGTTCAGAAAACCCCAAATGTGATAAACCCAAAGAAATCATGCCCAGACACATTACAGTCAAACTTAACTGAAACACAAAGTAGAAATCTTAGAAGTAACCAGGCAGATGATCTATTACCTGGCGGGGAATGATTCAAATGTCTGTGGATTTCCTGAGAAACCATGGAGACCAGAAGGAAGCTGGTCAACTTCTTTGCTTCCTTTTGCTGATTCTGTGTCAACATTCAAGTCTCAGCTAAAAAAGCAACTCTTCAGCTTTTCCCCTACCTTCCCATTCACGTCAACTATCATCCTACCTTGTTTCATTTTCTTCAGTCCCTGTCATGTTTTGAAATTATCTTGTTTACCTTTTTAGTATCTGTCATCACACACCGGACCCCACGCACCCAGCCCAATTCCTTGCTGAATCCTCAACACCTTGAGTAGTACCTGAGACACTAAGTGCTCAGAAATATGTCAAATGAATGAATGGAGCAACTTTCCAACATGGGCCTTGCAGGATCAAGAATTCACTAGACAGGGCAGCCAGGTGGCTCAGCGGTTTAGGGCCGCCTTCAGCCCAGCCTGGGGACCTGGGATTGAGTCCCAGGTAGGGTTCCCAGCATGGAGCCTGCTTCTCCCTCTGCCTGTGTCTCTGCCTCCCTCTCTGAGCCTCTCATGAATAAATAAATAAAATCTTAAAAAAAAAAAAAAAAAGAAAAGAATTCATTAGGCAAAGTAAAAGAGGAGCAAGTCAGAAAGAAAGGAGCCTAAAAAATACACTTGGAAGGTGTGGCATGATATATTTGGGAAACAGGGTAACTCCAAGTGGTGAGAGCCCAGGAGGCACAGTGTGTGTGATAAAAGAGAAGCCCAGGAAGGTAGACTGGAGCCAGACTGGAAAACATTTTCACGCCCCACCGTGCCACAGCAGCTATTGCAGGTTTTCAGCAGGGGAGTGACTGATCCAGTCTATATTTGAGAAATAAAAATATACACACAATGTGGTATTTATTTATATTGTCCCCTTCTAAAAATTTGAAATGCTGTAAGTATAGATACTATCTAGTCAACCTAAAGATGTGCATACCTCTATGAGCAAACTAAATTTCTCAAACTGCTAGTCATAATTCATTAGTGAGGCCTTGAAATCAATTTAGTGGATATAGGTGACATTATAAAAAGTGGAATAAAATAGAAAACACCAAATTGTATCATACATAGTAAGGGTAAATACTATTTTATAAAATGTTTCCATTATATATATGAATTATATGTACTTGGTGAGAATATAAATATATTTCCTACTGATCTAGACTACAGCAAGAGTGCTTACTGCCCTCAGGCCAAATCTTGTCTGCCTGCTTGTTTTTGTAAATAAAGTTTTATTGGAACACAGCCATTCCCATTCATTTACACGTTATCTATAGCTGCTTTTGCCTTACAAAGGCATAGATGATTAGTTGAGACCAAAGATCACATGGCCCACAAGCCTGATACTTATTGTCTGGCCCTTTACATAAAAAGTTTGCCAACAACTGATCTTGAGCACTGGTTCCTAACTGGGGCAGTTCTGGAACATCTGTAGACAATGTTTAGTTGTCATAATTTGGGAAGGAGGGGTGATATGTGTCCAGCAAATAGAAGCCAAGGATGTGGGCAAACATCCAATAGTAAACAGGACAGCCCTCCACATTTAGACCAAGATGTCAACAGTGCTAAGGATGAGAAACCTTGGTCTAGAGAAATGTCTGCACATAAATAACATGAATGTCCACAGTAGGACTGTCAGCCAAAGTAAAAACTGATGACGCTTCAAGTGCCCATCAACAGAAGACCAGAACAAGTCCTTCAGGCATATTCATACAGTGGAATCTTTGAAGCAATTAATGCACTACAGTTAATACATAATAACCTATATGGATCTCAGAATACAAGGGTGATTGAAGAAAGCAAGGAGCAGAATATTTTTGTGATTCTCTTTATATAAGCTTCAAACAGTTTCTAGTTTAAGGCTATCAACATATGTGGTATACAATTACAAAAACTAAAGGAATTATAAACATAAAATTCAGAACAGTGGTTACCTGTGAGAAGTAAGAAATGGGATGAGGGTAAACGGGAAGGCTGTATTTTTTCTTAAATCAGCATTCACTATACTGTTGTTCTTTAAAGATTGCATATACTTTTGGGGCGCCTGGGTGGCTCAGTCAGTAAGGCGTCTGCCTTCGGCTCAGGTCATGATCAAGCCCCTGCTCAGTAGGGAGTCTGCTTCTCCCTCTCCCTCTGTGTACAGGCTCTGTCTTCTCAAATAAGTAAAAAAAAAAGAATTTTTAAGAAAGATTACATATGCTTTTAAAGTATTATTTGTACTTATACAACATTTTTATTTAAAAAACAATCATCATGAAGAGAAAACTAAGGTAGGACAGGATGATGAAGCCAGATGTACACATACCATGCGGACCTGCAGGACTTCCAACCTTCTAATTTGGCCCTGATTTTCTCAGCATACAAAGTAAAAAGGAAAACACGATCAGTTACAGAATATGCACAGCCAATAAGATAAAAACTTTATAGATGCTTGCAAGAAGCATCTTCCCAATACTAGAGCTTAAAAGCAATCTGAACAACTCAGTAAGATACTAAGTTTCACACAGTTACACCTTGTAACACTGACATTGTTGATGTGGCTATTCTGATAGAGCCTAAAAAACAGACTATTAAAGTTTAAGCATTTCAAAATACCAAATAATACACAAAACTGCGTCACTCAATCCCTGCCCAGGACAAGCCTGCTAACTAGCACCCTGCCAACCTAAGATGGGGGCTGGAGTCAGAGAGGATGACCAGAATGGGAAGGCAAAGGCAGATAAGGCCAGGGATGGCAGGACATCTAGCAGACTAACTTGATGAGCCGAACCAAGTATATCACAGGTGCTCAACTTAGAAAGAGCCACTAAACCTATTAAACAAAATCAATGCTTAACTGTAAGAAAACTGACATATACTTTGTATAGCCCCATCTTAAACTCTCTCATTTGTCTTCTTAAGGCAAAGACACCAGTAACTGGGGTGAGAGGTGTGAAGGGGTAGGGTAAGCAGAGGACCTGTTAGTTCCAGCTCCAAATTCTACAGGAAATCCTCACTGACTTTCCTAACACTTATCTCAGCATATGCACTCTCTCCCCTTCCCTACACCTCACCCCCCAACACACACACACAATTTTATAACACACAATTATGACTTTTAGAGACATGGTGGAGCTATTTACGGCTTTTTAAATTTGTTCTCTTATTGTTCTCATTATAAAAAAAAACCACACTCATAAAACTTAAAATACTACAGAAAAAAGTATTATATACTCTCTTCTAGTCAGACTTATGAAAAAAAGTCAGAGTAACTTACGATATTTTCCCAAAAGCTTGCCCTGTCCAAGCTCCCCTAGTCCAGTGAATGGCCCAGCAACCCTCCCACCACCAAGAACCAGAACCCTGACCGTCCTCCTTGACACCCCTTTCCCTCAGCCCCCTGATCAGTCACCAAACTCTGGAGGTTTTATCTCCTAAAGAGTCCTCTCATCTTCCACTTATTTCTATCACAACCTGCCAGCACCTTCATCCAAACTTTTATCGTTTCACATCTGCAATAACTGCACCAGCTTCCTACCTAAATCCATTTCTTTCAACAGCCAGTAATCTTTTCAAAAATGCTTTTGTGACCACGTCCTTTCCCCTACGGATTAGAACAGGCCAGTTCTCTTCCCGTTGCTCTTTATGATCAGAATCAAAATCCTTAACATCCCAGCCAGGCGCTCAAAGGTCCCAGCTCTGTCTCTCCAACCCCATCTTCTCCTTTTTTTTTTTTTTTAAATAAAGATTTTATTTATTTATTCATGAGAGACACAGAGAGAGAGGCAGAGACACAGGCAGAGGGAGAAGCAGGCTCCCTGTGGGGAGGCCGACTGGGGGCTCCATCCCAGGACCCGGAGATCACCGCCTGAGCCAAAGGCAGATGCTCAGCCACTGAGCCACCAGGTGCCCCCATCTTCTCCCGGTAACTCTAACCCTTGCTTCAACAGGGATGCTATCTCCTGCCTCAGAAGCCCGACACTTATTAACTATTAACCGAAACCTAAAAAAGCTCTTCTCCGCCCCTTGCTACCTCCCATTTCGGACATCAGCCTCACCATCACTTCCTCAGAGGAATCTTCCTCCACCTGCCCATTAGCTGAAAGAGCAGCTTACTAGCCGCACCTCGCCTTCAGGGCACTTGCCACGCTTGCAGCTTCGCCTCTGCATTTTATTCCTACCTGTGGCACCAGAAGGTGAGCTCCTGACCAGCACGCATACGGTCTGCCCTGCCCGGCACCACAGTGGACACACCTTAAGCCTCATTTCCTGTAGGGTGAACCTGCCTCACCCTAGGGTTTTTTGCTAACCCTGTAGGGTATCCACAGGGGCTCTTCCCTCCGCCTAGGGGTAGGACGCCTTTCCCCAAGCCCTCGCCGTAACTTCTCCAAAGCCAGCCCAAGGGCCACCTCCTCCAGGAAGTCTTCCTTGATCATCCTTATCGAAGCAGGCCTCCCCCGTTGCTTTTTCTGTTTTGCCCTCTGCATCGTGACTGCCACGACGTGAACACGTACCGCTACTTGCATGGCTGTGTGTTTTAATGATCGACTCTCCCGCTAAACCGTACTCCCCAGGCAGGAAGCAACCACGTCCGCCTGGGTCACCTCGGTTTTCTGAGCCTGGCTGGCCCCTGCGTGTGCGTTCGGTACGTTATTTGGGAGTGAAAGCAGAAAGCCCGGCTGTGCCGGGACGCGAGCAAGTCCTTTCCCCGAGGCGGCGTCCCAGCCTCCCCAGGGGCGCCGGAGCACACCCCCTCCCTCGGCCGCGCCGGCTTCCAGAACCGTAAGGGGATGCCGAGGGGCGGGCACACGCACCCAAGGGGGCGCCCCCGGAAAGAGAAGCCCGGGGCGGGGCCTCGATGGGAAGGGACCGCTCAGGGAGGGCGGGGGGCCGCGGGGCCTCGGCGGCCTGCCGGGACGGAGCCGCCCCTCGCCGGGAACCCGGGGAAGGCCCCCGGGACGGCCGGACGGGCTTGGAGGCTGGGCCAAGAAAGGAGAAGTCCTCACCTGTACGGTCCGAATTCAAAGGGCCGGGGCGAGGGACCCCCCGGCCAGCTCGGCGCGCGCCTCCCCCGGCCCCGCCCCCGCCATGCCTCTGGCCCCCGCGCCCGCCGCCGCAGGCCCCGGCTTCCGCCGCCCCCGGAAGTGCGGTGCAGCGAGACGAGGGGGCGGAGAGCGCGGCGCCGTCAGTGGGCGCTGAGACAGTTACAGCGCACCCTGGAGTCCGGAGGGGGATCGCCGCCAAAGGGGCCCGTAGCTGCAAAGGAAAGAAATGAACCGGGAGCCCTAACCTGGACCGGTCAGAGAGCTCTTAGGGTGATGTCTCTGCACCTGCTGGAGACCTTTGCAAGCACGTGGATAAAGAATGTTTCATCTCTTGGTTAGATGCGGCCTTTTCGTGGGCGGAGAAACGATCAGCTTGGTGTTGTCCGCTCCTGCGCAGCGCGCCCTTGAACCCCTAGCACTGTGCTGCTCTCTGAACACCCTGCTCCAATACAGTGGCTGGCCTACAGTGCAAGTACAGAAAAGCTTCCTGCTCCAACCTAGTCCCATGATCTTTACTTGGACAGGCTGCCCCCACATGTCCCAGCGTCAATCATGCAGTTCTCGGCTCACGAGTCACCTGCTTTCCTGGTTGCTCTCATTAGCACCCATCACTATCTGATAATACCTGGGGTGTGTGTGTATGTGTGTGTGTGTGTGTGTGTGTGTGCACGCACAAATTTCCTTCTTTGTTGTGCTTCCCTTCCCCTTCTAGAATGTCAACTCCATGAGGGCAGGGATTTTGTCTTGTTTTCTGTTCTGTCCTCGCCTGCAATAGGGTTTGGGATCTTGGGATCTCCCCATTAAGGAGTGGGTCTGTGACTGTGAATGAGTGGCTCTACCCACACAGGAACTCTGGAGGGAAGGAATGTTGGTTAGCCTTTACAGATGCGCACACAGACTCAGGAAGGGTGAGTGGGTAAGAAGGGACAGGGTGGGTACTTGGCCCAGTCTTGATATTTCTAGGCTGAGTGTTCTCAGGTACTGACTGCAGAGTCTTCATTTTCTCTTCTGGGAAATGAAGATTTGCCTACCTAGTAAGGTTACTGAAAGAATTAGAGGTGTTAGAGATGCCTGGGTGGCTCAGTGATTGAGCATCTGTCTTCCACTTAGGGTGTGATCCTGGGGTCCTGGGATCGAGTCCTGCATCAGGCTCTCTGCAGGGAGCTTGTTTCTCCCTCTGCCTGTGTCTCTGCTTCTCTGTGTCTCTCATGAATAAATAGACAAAATCTTAAAAAAAAAAAAGAATTAGGGGATCCCTGGGTGGCGCAGCGGTTTGGTGCCTGCCTTTGGCCCAGGGCGTGATCCTGGAGACCCGGGATCGAGTCCAACATCAGGTTCCCGGTGCATGGAGCCTGCTTCTCCCTCTGCCTGTGTCTCTGCCTCTCTCTCTCTCTCTGTGACTATCATAAATAAATAAAAAATTAAAAAAAAAAAGAATTAGAGGTGTTATACTTCAAGTGCCTGGCACAAAGCCTGGAATGTGATAGATGCTCAGTAAAATATTATTGCCATTACTCAAGACCAACTCCCTTGCCCATGCATGAGTAAATTGAGACCCACAGAGGGACATGACTTGTACAAGTTCATACAGACCCAAGTGGCAGAATGGAGACTGTGACCCAGGACTCCTATCTCCCTTTTTCCAGGGTTCTCTCCCACACTACCAAGTTCAGACTCTGTAGTGATTTTAGGCATCACCATCTCCAAGTCTGTGTTCTTATATCTAAAATTTGGTAATTATCTGATTTGATTATTAGATAACATAAGAGAATGTCATTGAAACTATCAAATGCAGAGCAACCTATGAAAGTCTTAGAAAGAAACATAAGCATAATTCTTTATGACCTTGGATTAGGCAATAGTTTGTTAGATATGGCATCAAAAGCACAAGCAATCAAAGGAAAAAATAGATTAAATGAACTTCATTAAAATTTAAAAATGTGCTTCAAAACACACAAGAAAGTGAAAAGACAACCCACAGGATGGGAGAAAATATTGGCAAATCATATATTTGATAAAGGTCTAGTATCAAGAATATTTATTTTATTATTTATTTTATTTTTTTAAATATTTTATTTATTTGTCCGTGAGATACAGAGAGAGAGAGGCAGAGACACAGGCGGAGGGAGAAGCAGGCTCTATGCAGGGAGCCTGACATGGGACTCGATCCCAGGACTCCAGAATCACGCCCTGGGCCAAAGGCAGGGGCTAAACCGCTGAGCCACCCAGGGATCCCCAAGAATATTAAAAAAAAAAAAAAAAAAAAAAAAAACTCTTGCAACTCAGGGTATCTGAGTGGCTCAAATGGTTGACTGTCTGCCTTCGGCTCAGGTCATGATCTCCAGGTCCTGGGATCAAGTCTCCGTGGGACTCCCTGCTCAGTGCTTCTCCCTCTCCCTCTGCCCCTCCCACTGCTTGTGCTCCCTCTGTCTCTCTCTCTCAGATGAATAAATTCAAAAATCTTGAAAAGAAAAAAAAATCTTGAAAAGTGAACTCTTGCAACTCAGCAACAAAAAGACAAACCAATTGAAAAATAGGCAAAACATGGTATACACAAATGGCCAATAAGCATATAAAAAGGTGCTCAACATCATCAATTATCAGGAAAACACAAATCAAAAGCATAGTGAGGTACCATTTCACAGCCACGAGGACAGCTATGGTTTTCAAAAAGGAAAATAATAAATATTAGTGAAGTTGTAGAACATTGGAATTCCTTACATTGCTGGTAGGAATGGTGCGGTCATGTGGAAAATAGTTTAGCAGGTTTTGTTTCTTTTGTTTTTATTTGTTTGTTTGTTTGTTTGTTTGTTTGTTTTTTAGAGGCAGAGGGGCAGAGGGAGAAGGAGTATCATAAGCAGGCTCCATGCCCAGTGCAGAAGCTGAGCAGAGATCAAGAGTTGGAAGCTTAGGGATCCCTGGGTGGCGCAGTGGTTTGGCCCAGGGCGCGATCCTGGAGACCCGGGATCGAGTCCCACGTGGGGCTCCCGGTGCATGGAGCCTGCTTCTCCCTCTGCCTGTGTCTCTGCCTCTCTCTCTCTCTCTCTCTCTGTGTATGACTAGCATAAATAATAAATTAAAAAATTAAAAAAAAAGAGTTGGAAGCTTAACCAACTGAGCCACTCAGGTGCCCCCTAACGTTTAACTTTCATTTGATTTTCATTTATAAGAGTGTCTTTAAAACCCTCTGACTTCCCACTATTATTCTTGCTATTTGTTGATTTAAGGCAGAGTCTAGCATGGGGAGGCTGTTTCACTGTGCTTCCTGGAAGATCTGCTGGTGGTAGAGGAGGCCTGAGGCTGTCTTTCCTCCTGGACTTTTCCAGGAAGTGGATTTCATTTCATTGCTCTCAGAGTCTGATGTTAAAAAAGGTGACCAAGACTATGACTGCCTGGGAGGTCTTTGGAAGGACTTTGCCTTCAATTCAGAATGAAATAAGGAGCTGCAGGATGGCTCTGAGCAGAGGAATAGCAGAAGCAGACTTGTGTTTTAGAAGGTTCACTCTGGCTGTCATGGGGAGAGGAGACACTTGAGAGACCAGCCAGGAGGCTATTGCAATAGTCCAGGCAAGAGATGATAGCTGCCTGGATTTGAGTGATAAAGGCTTGAAGGTGGTAAGAAGTGGTCAGATTTGAAATATACATTAAAGATATATTGCTTATGGCTTGGATAAGCAGTGTGAGAGAGAGAAAGAGAAGAGGCAAGCATGTTCCAAAATATTTGGCCTGAGTAACTGTGAATGCTTTTACTCAAAAAGTAATAGTATCTTTGGATTGGGCCACGTTTAAAGTCATCTCCATGAGAACAGTAACCACTTTGGTTTTGCATCCACTGATTCCAGAGGCCTAACACAGTGCCAGGGCACAGAGGCACGCAATAAAGATTTGCTGAATGCTGACACCAGTCAAGGCAGTGCCTCAGATGACACATGTTATTCCACGGCTCTTCAGCCTGCCTCTCCCAGATGTTCCAACTTCTAATTGCCCACCACTCCCTCCCACTGTGCTCCCAGCCCAGGAAGAACATTGAGTCCTGAGCCCCCACCGCAGCTCGTGCTCCTTTGTCCCTCTCAGGAGTCCCAGGGCACACCAGGTCCCCAAGTGAGTGGGATGATGGAGTACTAGGGAGGGGGACCTGGAGGACCTGAGAGCTTTCTCTCCTCTCACTCTGTCCTCCTGTGGCTCTTCTGCCAAGGCTTTTAGCAGCTCTGCTTGGTATGTGCATTAGCCACAAGAGGAGGAGATGGGAACAAAAGCAGGATGAGAGGCTCTTGTTCTTTCTCCCATTCTAAAAGAGGCTGGCTGAGCTCTTTTCACCTCTATATTCAGTGGCAGACATTTCTTACCCTAAGTATTACACCACCACTCCCCATCATCACCATCACCAACAAACAGCATGATTAACACCATCACCATCACCATCACCGTCCCCATCATCTATCCTTTCATGAAAATCCTCACAATCTGCACTTAGTACATATTTATTATACACCAGATGCTATGACAATCATTTCACCTATATTATGTCCTTTAATCCCCCACGAGTTCAGTCTTATTTATCCCCCACTTCACAGATGCAGAAACTTAAGCTCAGTCTCACTTGATCCTCATTTAGATCTCCCCACTCTCTTCTCTCTCTACAAGGCTCACTTCCTTATAATACATCCTCTATTGCTAATTGCAGGCAATGCAAAGTTTCTGCTTGTAGTCCCTCAGCCTTCAGATTTTGAACCCAATTATTTTTTTTTTCTTAAAGATTTTATTTATTTATTCATGAGAGACACACAGAGAGAAGCAGAGACACAGGCAGAGGGAGAAGCAAGCTCCCTGCAGATAGTCCAATGCAGCACTCAATCCCGAGATCACGACCTGAGCCAAAGGCAGATGTTCA